TCCAGACTAATTTTTGTCTGTGAAGATTTGATTTCAAGACTTGGGACTGGTTTTGATTAACCGAACAGCAATAAGTAAAATCTTCTTAATTTATTTAAATAAAATTCAACTTGAAAATCATTTTCTACCCATCTCTGTATTTTTTTAGCACCCCGGAGGATAGGTCTGTCTCATCTACATAGATTGTACCTCACTTCTACTTGGGAAATCAGTAGGGTTTCTTTGTGGTGACCAGCAGGACTTGCTCCAGATTGTTTCTATATCACCAAGTGGCTTACTCCAGAGTACTGCTTTGCAGTGTGGTTAATGGAACTGTAACTGAGGAATCACTGGCCAAATGAGAATCTACCAGACTGGGCAATCTTGGGGCTGAAAAATGTCTTGTTTTTGAGGGTGTATGGTCTGTAAATGGACTTGCTATCCACTGCTATGATGCTGACCTAAAATTGTGAAATGGTTTTTGTGCATTACTAAGGAGGCAGCTGAGTAACTCAGCACATTGGGTTTGGGGTGGTAGAAAGCCTTCAAACTCGGACTTCCAGCCTGGTTCTGCCCCACTGCTGCCTGTTCTTCTGCAGGATCCCCTCCCGAGTGCTGCGAATCGCACTGAGTGTTTTGGCAGCTTCCTGCAACAAACCAGGAGCCTGGCACTTCTCAGAGCCTCCTGCTTATGACAGAGTGGGAGCAAAACAATGCCCTAAGCTGCACTTTCTCCGAGTGCTGCTCCAGAGAAGAGTCTTTCATCTGCAACTTCATACTAAAAATGAAGTCTTAACACTTTGACCAACTGTACTTTTTAACACTGCTATTTGACTGAAAAGGTTATAGTCCCATATGTCAGTTGTGAAAGAACTTCTGAATGCAGCCAACAGCTTTTTCTTTCCATGCGTGAAGTTTATGGCTCTACTTCCAGGCTTGGTAATGTTCTTACTCTTCTTATTTTTTTTCATTATAAAAACAGAGTTGAGTCTGGAATTAGAAGAGAAGCTGGACATGTGCTTTTGCCTACTTTTACTTGCATTTATTCTTCTGACTTGTTATGAAAGCTATGGTAGCCTCTACTGAAGAAATATTTCAGTATGTGATTATTTTGTCTACACAGGTGTTTTTTTAACATGACTGACCTACAGAAATGTGCTCTTGCTTAAATGTGAAAAACATGCACGTGTGCTATGGCTCATGTAGAATTCAGCAGTGTCAGGACCAGTAAGTGCATTGCTGGAAATTACATTTTCAAAGGGAGGATGATGCCAGGAAACCAAACGGTTTTGATAGCAGATCAACACATGACATTTTGTTCAGATGTTCAGAAATCCTTTACAGACAGCTTAATTATCCCAGCTTCCAAAGATTTGGCTTTTCATTATGGTATGTAAAAATATATATTTTTTTTCTGAATTTCTTGGATAAAGGAGAATTTCCCACATCCATCTCAGAAATCTTTTCACCTTCCCTCTGCCTTTCAGCTAATAATATTCTTTGCTCATTTATTAGTTCCAATTGTGTCTGATAAACAGGTGGGAATGTCAAAGGTTTCTGGATTCCATGCCTGCCCTATCCAACACCTGCTCCCTATGCAGTCCCAAGGCTGTTGGCTTCAGCCTCACTTGTGATAGTGAAAGTGGCCAACCAGCATTCTTCCTCCAATGAGTGTGCCTGCACAGAGGGAGCTGAGGTTAGAAACATAGAATTGAGTTGGAAGGGAGCCTTAAAAGCCATCTAGTCCAACCTCCCTGCAATGAATAGGGATGCCTATAGCTAGATTAGGCTGCTCGGTGCCCTGTCCAACTGACTTTTGAGCATCTCTAAGGTCAGGGCATCCACTAGGAGAAATGGATGCAGAGCTGGGGGAATTGTACTACACCTGCAAGGGGTAACCCTTTTAGTCCTGATGCAATGATTTGTCCTTGTTTCAGAAGATGCTTTAAAAGCAGGGGAGCTTAGTGTCTTTTTCCTGATTGTCTTTTCAGAGTCTTCTCATTCATATGAATGATCCACTGTTTAGTACAACAACACAAGGAATCTGCTAGAGAATATCTGGAGGATGTGTCAGCCATAGATACTGAGCTGCTGTGCACTTTGTCCTACTGATATGGAGTTATTAAATACCAAATTTCAGAAGGAGAAAGAGTTCTTAGGAATAGGAAAATTGAGAACTTATTACTCATCTCTCTTACATCTTATGAGTATTGTGCTTTAAAATAAATAATTAAAGAGAAAAACCAACAACAAAAGCTGTAGGGAAGAGGGAGATTGCAAGATATAACTGTTCTGCAAAGACTTTCTTTTACTTTTCACTTGAAAAAAAAGCCTGTAACAGTGCCCATGAGATGCATTGGATCAGTGTTACTGGGCCAAATATTTAGATCCATTATTTTGGCACAACTTTGGGTTCCCTGAGGAAAAACTCCCAAGTATTGCTAATTCCTCCTTCGCTGATAGATTTGAAAGGATGCTTCAGGAGAAAATGTCACCTAGAAACTGCTTAAGTTTCTTTTGATTTTTCTGCTGCTGTTTTGTCAAAACTTTCTTACAGGGTAATGTGATCCTTCACAAATGAGTGATGGTACTGAAACAGTATGTTGTTAGCATATTATCAGTCGCCTACAGATTTTTATCAGGTTTCTGCAAAATGCTCTTGTCCAGCCTGACAAAACTTTGTTTCTCCTTTGAAACTAATTAGTCTTTGCCTTACTTTGATTTTATGATAGAGGCTTCAACTGGGGAAAACTCAGGAAGCCTTACAGACCTAGTTCTAATGAAACATCACTGTATAACAAAGTAGACATCTAAATGTAAAGCAAGTATTTTGTGTGTTTATATAAAATAAGGTGAAATATTTGCCTCTTTTAAAATATAGCCATGTACTTGCATTTTTTCATGTGTAGATAAACTCAATGATTCCAAGACAGGAGAACAAAATTAATATTCTATTAATTTTTTCCAGTTAAAATATAATTGTGTTATGAATAATAATAAAAAAAGATCCAAGAATTTCAAATTTTTGAGGTTGAGTGCCTTGAATTAATATTTATGAACCAAAAATAAATGTTCTGACTTTATAAGAGTGCTGTGTTCTCAGCAGCCTCTTCTGCAATCAACAAAAGCATGGATGTAGCACAGAGCAACCTGGCTCTCTTCTGCATTTTAATTAAGATTAGAAGCTGCTGCTAAACCAAGGCTGCAGCACTAGGTTTCCTTCATTAGTGATGGCAGTTTGGTTTCATATCTAGTTTTAAGAAGGAGACAGAATTAACGCTTTGAAAGGCTCTTAGTAACTTCTGAAATCCTGGCTTCTGAAATACAGATGACTTGCATAGTCATGTAAACCTATACTAAGGTAGCTGCCATTCTGTTAGGGTGATCTCTCTGGGGATTGCAGTTCTGCTTTGAACTCTGTGGCAGTTTTCGCTGTCTGAAGATTGTGGGAGTACAAAAGAACAGGTTACTACTATCAATTCCCCGTGCAAACAAACTGGTTTAATCTCTGGCAAGGGCAACACCTGTTTTTTTGCACATGAAAGCAGTTGTTGTGTACAAAGATATATATTCTTCCGTCTACTTTCACTGCCCAAGCACTTTCCTGGGAGCCTGCTTACCTGCTTCATCCTCAAAAGTGCAGAGCATTCAGCTGTGTTACTCCTTGTTTTTTTGATCTAGATTTGCACCACTGCACTCGTGAACAGTATCTAGATGGTGTGAGATGAAACAGAAAATGTAGGAAATTTGGCCCTGCTCCCCTGCAATTCCTTATTTCCAACCATATTCTGTGTGCTGAAATCTGTGAAGGTGCTGAGATGGTAGGTGTAGAGGGCTGACACAACATCAGCTGCTTTGTGAAACTGATGTCTCTACTCTCTTTCTCATAGAGCTTTTGTGAGCATGCTCCTTAATGACATTCTCAGTTTTCTGTGAGTCTTTCAGAATCTTCCCAGTCATAGTTCTTTTCCTATTGCTGTTGGTACTCCTTTTATAAACCTTCTTTCTGCACTGTTCTTCCCATCTAGTTGCCTCTTTGGTGCTGGTTAGAGAACCAAGAGTAATTCACCTAATTTCTTAGCTGTAAGGATTATGTTATCATGGGCCCAGTATGTTTGTTCTACACGTAGTTACACATGACTGACTAAAATGGATTTCAAAACTAGCTAGTACAAATACATTACACTATTTAAACCCTTCTGGGTGAGCAGTTAAAAAGAAATGCCAGATGAGTTAGGATCCCACTAGCCCCGGGTACAGTCCATCAACTCTGCCAGCAGCTCTCTACAGCTTCATCCTACAGAATTCTACAGTGACAAGTGTGGGAAGTAGTTTAATATCCTATGATGCATCACTTATATCTTTGACCTTACTCTTCTAAATGTAGATTTCCATGAAGAAATAAAGAAGATCTTAATATGAAAGACAGGCCATGGCATCAGCTGAAGCTTATATTTGGTTGTTAGCTTTTTGCTCACTCCCCTATGTAAACGAACAATGTATCTCAACATTTCCTGAGTTTTAGCCGTTATTCCCTGGCTTTTAATTCCAAGTTATTTCTGCTAAATGATTCTCCGCTTTACATATGAATTGCACAGCAGATGGAACCCAAAGCCCACTTCATCTACCAGTTAGAAGGAGGTCAGTATCTGCTACTTCAGTGGAAGATGTAAAAATCAATAACCAGTAGAGATTGTGTAAAAACCTGTAGTAGCAGTTCTTTGTGTCTAGCAGAATGGCTCATGTCACATTAAATGTACTTCATTTACTAGTGATAAATCTGCAAAGTATTTTTATTAATATTCATATCCAGTGCCTGTGGCAAAAGCAAGGCATGTATATCCTCCTATGATTTGTCTATTCACTTCACATTTTGTCCCAGATATGTGACCATTGACCTTTCTTTACAGGAAGGTGTGCATTTTTCTCTTGGTTCAAAACTTTTATTTCTGTTTTACATTCATTTCTTAGGTTCTTCAGAACACCAATTTTAAGAATATGAGAAGTATTCTCTCCATCCATTCAGTTGTCTGTCTCTGTGCAAAGTCAGCATAAATCCGTCCCTGAAATCCCTGGAGTTTCAGGGTGAGTTTAAGGAAAGTTAATGAAGTTCAGTACTCCAATGCTGGTGAAAATAACTCTGTGCTTCAGCATCTCTGTGTTTCTTGGTTGGTGCCAATTTGCAGGTATACAGATTTCTCTGCTGATTGCAAGAACAGATTTTTGGTTGAATGAAGGAGAATAGTCTCAAGAAGTCTCCCACAATATTGCCAGGTTTAAAGTCTGACAAAAAACTTGATCTACTCCAGTAAGTAAGTAAGTAAGTACCTTCCTGAACCAAATATTTTTCAGATATGTTCTCCCTGGTCCCACTTCCCTGGCTTTAAAATATGGATCCTCTGTACGAGAGCCAAATGAAACTCTTCTGTATTATGGAAAATGACTGCCTGCCTAGCAAATCTATCTGCATTCAGGATGAACAGCTGCAAGATTTTTTATTTTTTATTTTTTTTTGTGCACTGCTATTTCTTGCAGGTACCAGCAGTTAGAGGAAAAGATGATATGTAGGAAATGAGCTGCTAAAATCAGATTGTCAAACAGGTGAAATGAGTAAGGAGACCTCAGAATGCTAAGGATCCTGCTGAATTTGACTGTAGCATGGCAGGATGATTGGAAGAGCACTGTATGCATGCTTCACTTGCTGGATAATATTTGAGCCTGCTCCAATTACAGGAATTGTATGACCTGAGGAGTGCAACTCAGCTGCAAGGGTGTAGTGGAATACAGCAGAACTTTTATATTGTGGATGTAGGTATTTTATTTTATTTTATTTTCCTGATCAGATTTTTACTAGTAAGCTGACAACAATGCTAATTTTTCCTTCTGTACTCTGTTGCCTGTCTATGATTCAGTTCTTGAGGGACAACAGCTACCTGTGTGTTCTAGCTGCAAATGGAATTTCCTTTGAAGCAAATAATTAAAAATGAGAGGGGGAATGTTCTCTCTTGAAGAAAGTCTTTAACCCTTAGATAAAAATATACGGGCACAATCATATTACTTAAAAGGACTGCAAATTTATCAGAGGTTTCCTGTCTCAAACTTAGTCCTATCTCTGCTTTTGGGGGGAAATAATTTCCTATTCTTCAACATGACACCATCTGCTAGGGTCTGGATTTGTGAATGTATGAAGACCATGAGCAGCCCTGGCAATTGGCATATTTCTCTTCTCCTTGAAATCATAGAATCGTAGAATCCTTATAGTTAGAAGAGAACTTTAAAGGCCATCTAGTCCAACTCCCCTGCAATGAGCAGGGCCAGCCTGGCTTTGAAAATCTCCAGGGATGTGGCATTAATCACATCTCTGAGTATCCTGTGCCAGTGCCTTGCCACCTTCACTGTAGAAGTCTTTTTCCTTATTTATAACCTAAATCCACCCTCTTTAAGCTTCAAGCCATTTCCGCTTGTTCTATTACTGCAGACCCTGCTAAAGAGTCTGTCCCCTTCTTTTCTGTAGCTACCCTTCAGATATTGAAGGGCTGCTATCAGGTCACCTCAGAGCCTTGAAATTTCACGGCTGAGATAAGTACCTGATTACTGATGGTGTCTTCTTGTCCGCATCCTAAAGTATACTTTTCAGTTTTTCCAAATTCTCATATGGAGATATTATTAAAGAAATCAAAGCTAAGCATTTAATTTGTGCTCAGAGTTCCCACAGAATTCTGTGCTTTAATAGCAGCTAGTGGTAAAATTGAATTCACAGCTATGAACTAAAAACAAGAAAGAAAACTTTCAGGAACATTAGCAAGGACTGAAGGTGGGTAGTGCTTTTCCTTTCAGAAAAGATTGCAAACTAATTTAACTAATACATTAGTTAAATTAGAATTTCAGCTGGATTTCATCACCAATAGCTAAGTAAGCAGAGATTCTATAATTGAGTATTACTCAAGCTGTTTTCATACAATCAGAAAAACTACATAATTTTGAGAACTAAGAATTATTACTGTGCAGCTAACAGTGACTTATTGATCTGTTTCTATTCAGTTATTTACAAATGGCTGAGAGCTTACTCTGGGACTTGATATTCTTGCAGAGATTCTGTCTATACCCTTCATCCTGGTGTGCAGATGGCCTCTCTGTTCAATGAACTGTGAAGTACAAAACCTAGTGTATGTGTAACTGGTGGTTTTTGTGCAGCGCACCTATGACAAACAGACTGTGAGCTAGAGTATTGTCCTACTTTCTTATTGACTGTTAAAAAGTTCGATTCTTTAGCAAAAAGTTCACAGCTATTGTTAGCTGGGGGTAAAAAGTGAATTTTTATTGGGAAAATGTATAATAGTTATACCTGGACACTGATATGAAACTTCATATAGTACCTAGAGAGATGAGATGAACTGTAGCTCCTATAAGCAGTGGAAATGTTGCTGTCTTTAGTCTTTCTGAAACATGGTTTTGCTTGGAGTATTTTTAAAATTATAAAAGCCTACACAAAGTAAACAATTTTCTCTTTAAACCTCCTAAAGCTATAAGCCTTGTTTTCTCTCAAATAAAAGAAATGCAGTATTGGAGATGACTGAATATTTCCAATCGAAGTTACTTTATCTGTCTTATATTTTCTCCAGGATATAAGAATACTTTATTAATCATGCTCTGTTCTTGCAACCCAGTACTAGCCTATAGTCATTACTGGAGATGTCATTCTGCCCATGCCATGCTTTCTAGGCTGCCAGAATAACCACAAATATTAGTGAAAATCATCACAAATGCTTTGTCCAGTTAAGGCATTTCCCACTAAATTATGTTTCTCTGTCCTAATGTAGATAAACATCTGTCAGTAGCTTTTTCTACTATGATCTATGACCTACTATGATCAGTTCTCGTGCATTTGGTTGAGGCAAAAGGAGCACAGAGAAATTCTGGTTGATTGTGATTTCTCAGTGTCTGCTTGGCCGGAATGCATGGTCAAAATGATCAGGCTGAAGGTACAATTGAAGTCTGATTGTGCTGATTTTAAACAAGGAGGAATACAAGCTTGAATGTAGAATCCCAGCAAAAACTCCAGAAAGAGCTAGTCACACTGGCCTCGTTACCAAAACCATCATCCTGTGAAACTATGATCTCAATCTTGGATAAGCAAGATACTGTATCACTGGGCCTGATCTGTACTCAGCTTAGTGTGCCAGGGCGGTATAAGTGCTAAATACTACTGTGTCTGAATTTGAGTACTTTGTGTTAGTTTTGTGTGTGGGCTGCTGATTTAAAAAAAAAAAAAAAAAAAAAAAAAAAAAAAAAGTATTGGAGGGCCAAAGTGAAGCTGTATGTCCTCTCAGCTGAGACTTCTCAGTGCTGCTGCATATAGCATAATAGTGCTCCTGAAAGAAACTGTGAAACCTTGGTCAGTGTATTGAAATTTTGCTTAGTGATCAACATATATGTTGATATATCTGATTTTTTTGGATATGGACATTGTAATTTTCAGCTCTGGTTGAGTGAGGTTGGATTTTGCCTTGAATTAGGCAGCCTAGTAGTGCAGACTGCTGGGGGCTTCAGTCAGCGTAGGGATCTAACACATCATGAATCACTAGGGGCTATAAATGTAAAATAGATAAGTGAGCCTTACAATCCACATGGGGTGGGGATAGTATCATTCAGTGCAGTCATTCCTTCCCAGCTTTATCATTTCTTTGTTGCTCTGTGATATATGAAATGCTGAAAAGCCAGAGCCTTTTGTACTAGTAAGTTGACTCAATTCTTTTTTCACAGCATATATTTTCAGTATATTGCAATAAGCATGAAAAGGCTGGAATGAAATACCTGGTTAAAAATAAACCATGTAAGAACTAACTTCAAGTTAAGAAGATAAGAGTAAAGAATGTTCATATTAGAGATACCTCAGAATTTTAAGTGGAACAAGAATGCCTGATTAGGAAAGAAAAAGGAATGAAATTGGTCTGATTTCCATGTTTAGAGCTACAAATATCTGTTCAATGATCTCAATCAAACTGGGGAAAAATATAACATTTTGGGATCAGGTTGGAGCACCTACTTGCATCTTAACCAAGCAGGAGTATAAACATGGGGTGGTGACTGACATGAAGGAATGGTCTTGTATAGTAGTGTCAGAGTGCACCAGAGGGCACGTCCTTCAGGAGCAGAATAGGGTGCTGTTGGTCATCGAGCAGAACTAAGTTTGAGGCGGATATTCGTAAATCTGACCGTTTGTATTTCTGTAGGCTTTTACCATTTCATATCAGATGCCTTGTCTTATATTTTGCTAGGCAAAATGTCTTGTACATGATCTTGGCTCATAGAAAATGCTGTACCTCATTCCTCTGTGAACAGAGAAGGTATTTGTAAGGGTGCTGATATCCTTTGAAATGTTTTGCATCCTATGTGTGAGCTCGAAACCCTTCATACAATCCTATCTAAAGGTGACAATGCCTGGTTAGAGGGAAGTATTCCTGAAGAAGTCTAGGTGACCTTAACTCTGAATTGAGTGAAACTGCTGTGTTTTGAAGAGGTTTCTTATAAAGAAACATGAACTTATGTTCCTTATATTGCCTTATGAATCAGGTGGTCCTATCCGTGTGACCCATATGGGCTACAAGAAGCAGGTTCTAAGTAGAAGGATTCCCACAAAAAGATTTTGCACTTTTCTTTTAGAAGGCTTTTCACTGAGGGGTGCCTGTTTCCTTCCTCTATGTGGTGGACAGAAAGGTTGTGAGACTTGTCCACTTCTGCTGGCAGAACCCCATGCTGGGGGAGGTCACAGCACAGGAGAGGAGAAAATTAACCTGCACTCCCACAGAGGTTGTTGGTGGAGGTCTAATTGAAATGTTGCTAACTGGCAAACTGTGACCTTTCCTAGGAAAGTTCAAGCTAGTTTAGCAGGGGGAAAAAAAAGAATTCCTTCCAAACTGTGACTGTATTTTCTTTCTTTTCCCCCAGCTGGGAGTAACTGTGAATTGTCTGGATAAGTTTAACTTGTGCAGATCCAGTGAAATAAGCAGTTACTCTGGGCCAAATCCATGCTGGCACAACTACTTGCTGAGCTGCTTTTGCTCCAGGGATTGGTATTCACCCTTCAAGTTACTTTTCTGGACTTTAATGAGTTATTTGAGACATCTGAATAAAATAATAATTTTAAATCAAAAATATTAATAACATAGGTATTTCAGATACTTAACTTACAAATAATTTATTGCACTGAATTAATTTTCTTTAATCAATTAGGAGTCTTCCAGGTACCAGAAAACAGTAATTTAACAGCAGGAGTAATTTTATGTATTTTTAGAAAGGATCAGAGAGTAGAATCAATTTCTTTAAAATTTCTTCTCCAACATACAGAAACCTGGCAGAATATTTCCCTCCAGTGCCACAAAGGCTTTTGCTCACCAGTCTTCATATTCAGAACAGAGATATATGGATCTGCTGGTACTCACAGTTTAGTTATTTTGTTTGCTGGTGGAGCACCATGGTATTTACACTTGTGAACACAACATAAAGATTTATGTATCTTGAGGGCAAAACCAAGATCTGCAGAGACAAATATGAGCACCTATGGTTTCTTCATGTAAGGCATGGTTTTAGGAGGATGGTGCAGGCCTCTATTGCAATCAGTACAGAGACCCAGAACACCCACACAGTGGTAGATTTTACGTGTTAGTCACTAATGGATGATTCTCTGGTTTAACACAATTTATTCTTATAAGATCAGGTCTGCCTTAGAGATAGGTAACGGGAAGAAAAAAAAAAAAAAAGGGCAAAAATTATGTCTTAACTCACTCCCCTGTCATTTGGACATATCAAAACAAATGTAACATCAAGTTACATTCTTCCACAGACACAGCAACCAGAAATAGGTGATGCCTTGCCATTTGATGTTACTGCCGATGATGAAGTTTGCGCTAGTCATCTTTTCTAGTTAAATCT